AGGGGGGGGGGGGGGGGTCTTTTCCGACAAACTAAAAATGGCTTGCGCACGAGATTTAAAAGCTATAATCGTATTTTGAGTTAATAGCTGAAACATGTGTTGGGTGTTTAATTGCTGTACGAAATTTCAAACAATTTCCTTCAGTTTAAGCCCTTCAACTATTCGCGCAAACTTACAGTTTTCCTAAAAAATCAGCAATTTGCATGCCTAATTAATGCATTCTCCCAATTTGCATATGTCAGCAATTTTTAGGGAAAAATGGATAGTTAAAGGGCTTAAACTAAAGCAAATTGTCTGAAATTTTGTACACTAATTAAAAATCCAACAAATTTTCCATCCATTAACTCAAAATACTTTATAATAAAAAATTTAATCAAAATACTTACAAAATAAAGCTTTTAAATTTCGTGCGCACGCAAGCCATTTTTAGGTTGTTGGAAAAGACACACCCCCCTGGTTCACAAAATTTGAGTTCGAGAATTTTTTTCATTATTCTACCTTATAAGTACCCAAAGAAGCTATATACATCAAAAACTAAATACGAATGGCTGTTTTGCGAAATTGAGAGCAATTTCAAATCTGTTCAGTTTTATTATACATCCTGTAGAACAGATAGATGGTTTGGAAACTCATTAGATCTAATAACAACATAACTCATTATCTATGTTAGTCAACGTTTATTCATAAACATGATACTTTGGCGTCACGTGTGTATTGTATTCTTGCCACATCCACCAATAGCAATTTTCAATTTACCCTATTGTTCGAGTCACGGATAGGTCATCCTAAGACATTGCTATTGGTTAGTTGGGCAAAAATACAATACGCACCTAACGCACGTGACGGTGAACGACCAGATTTATGAATAAACGTTGACTAACATAGTTAATGAGTTTCCAAACCATCTATTCTATTAATATAACTATGGTTTTATCCGGGCTTGAGAAGTTTAATTAAAATAGACCTTTCAATTCTAAATTAAATTCTGCCTTGTGACGTAGTTTGCGGATAACGGGATAAATACGATCATTTGGCCAATCAGGCAAACAAAATGGCTGTGCGGGGTTTTCCTTTATCCAAAAACTACGTCACAAGGCAGACTTTTTAAAAAGGTCTATTAGGTACGCACAGCATACATATACAGCAAGGCAACTTGAATATCAAATTGACCTCTTACATTGCTCCGGCTCTTAGCTTGTATTCGGCTACCTTGAAATAAAGAAATGGTCACGAGGGTAATTAAGATACAGCAAGCGCTAAGCAAGCACTATTGTCCTGAATTTATGCGCAATACGAGCCTAGAGGAGAGAGGCTGGGAACGAGGTTAAAAATAGGTACGCTAGGCGTACATATGTATCTGCGCAAAAGGTTTACACAGTTTGTGGTCACTGTTGTTGTAGTTAAGCGAGACGGCTCAGAAATTTCACATTTGTATACAAAGTTAGAAACCAAATTTAATATTTGTGCCAATCTCGTTCCCATTTGTGCCTTGTTTAAATGTGAACATATTTAAGTAAATCTATATTATTCACATGTAGTGCTTGTCGAAGGTTGAAATTTAAAGAATATGGCTAGCGAAGGCGATAAATCGACTGGAAAAGATGAAGGCGAAGTGAAATCTACACCGTCAATTATTTCGGTTTTTAGTACTGATACGAAAGGTACAAAGCTTTATATTTTTAGTTTTGTACTGTTTTGTTTAGTCCTTTTTTGACGATAGTTGTTGAGAAATATTCTTGTCTAAAGCTTGCTTCAATCGTCAAAGGAGGAAAATTCTTAGTTTGGCTTTTAATATTAGTATGTGTGACCATTTGTATTTATTAGAGTTATAGGACTCATAGGATTGGGGATAGGCAACAAGGCAACATCTTAATTTGAACGCTTTTTGGCAATTAAGACATACTGTAGGCTTAATTTTGGGAAAAGATCATGCGGGAAACTATGTTTACCAGGGAACCCTTACCAATGTATTATAGTTACGCATATAGGACATAGTTTTTGTATAGTTTGTTTTTTTCCATAATCAAAGTCATCAGCTAATACCTGGCTTAATTTTGATGTTTTATGGCGTAGGCGCGGTCTATATTGGTATTTCGTTCGAAGTCCTGCATTATAGAATGGGTCTATCCCTTTAATGTGGGTTTACTTTCTGGTCCAATTCTGTACTATTCTGCAAAGTCCTTCATTATAGAGTGGGTCTATCCCTTTAATGTACGTGGGTCTACTCTCTAGTCCAATTCTGTACTATTCTGCAAAGTCCGGCATTATAGAGTGGGTCTATCTCTTTAATGTGGGTCTACTCTCTAATCCTATGGTGGGTCTATCTTGGTATTTCAAAAACTGTGCAGTGTAGGCTAATACTGTTCAGTTCTGTACAGGGTCTCCCAGTGGAGCAGGGAAATTACACAGACCGCCGTCACCTGTGGTCGTTACCCACTAGAAAAGTTTTCCTTTGTTCCCCAAGTTCCCTTGAAGTCCCCCTTGTTCCCCCAAGGGAGCATGGTGAAATCATAGACAATCCATGGGAACATGGTGAAATCATTTATCGGTAAAATACGCTTATTAACATCGTCGTCAGTGCACAGTTCCCTATTTTAAATGGTGAGAACAAACAAAATATGGAATTGTCGTACTCGTACACCCTGTTTGGTGTTGTTAATACACAATTGATATACCTGGTTGCAGTGAACGAACAAACTCTAAATCTGCAATAGTTGTATCAAGCGCGAGTATCATCATGATCCATGTACGCTTGCCAGGGGCGGACATATCGATTTTGACTGGGAGGGTGTAATCACGAAATGAGACCGACCCACCGCTGAAATGTGAATCCAGACCGACTCTTGGTGAGTTGGTGCGTTGCAATAAAATTGAGTACAAAGCATGGAAATTGATGTCATTTATTAAGAATATTGCAAGAACACGTACAGTTTGCTGTGAAACGTTATACTTTTATTAATTAAGTGTCCGCGCTTAGTCAGGTTTGCCCACGGATTAGCGATTTCGTCAAGATCGATCTTGTCTGTTAGATCGTGCTCACACGCACAGTGGCGTAACGTTACATCAAGGGGCCCCCGGTTCAAAATTTTCGAAGGCCCCCCCCTAGTAGAAGTGCCAAAGGCACGAGTCGAGCGCCGTATATGCACGAGTTTTCTAGGGGGTCCAGGGCATGGTCATCCGGAAAATTTTTGAATCTAGACTCTCTGAAATGCCATTTCCTGGACTTTGGGGAGAGATTTTACAGAATTCTGATGGTCATAAAACGACATTGTAACATATCAGAGGCCCTGGCCAATGTTTTTTGCCCTATCGCCTAAGCCTGGGGGCCCCCATTTGGGTTGGGGGCCCCCGGGTTCACCCGGTCTGAGCCCATAGTAGTTACGCCACTGCACACGCAAGAGTCAAGAGTTCACCGAGACGTTCCCGGTTCATTACTGAATGCATAACAGTTTTCACTGATTTCAGCTTTGAAAAGCTGCGCTCGGCTGATGCGGATGTTACAGGAACTGTCAGGCTCGTAACTATAGGATTTTTGATTGACCGAGACACTTCTGGGGGCATGCTCCCCCCAGAAAATTTTTGATTTTCTGGCTTAGAAACGCTATTTCCTGCATTCTGGAAGCAGTTCAAACGAAATATCAATTTCATAAACAGTGACACAATGACTATAATTTATACTGTAGTTTGCCCCCAATCCTGAGGCTTCATCCACTGGCGTGTGTTTTGACTGATAATTCGTTCATAAATTCGCGAAATAAGTACGTAATATTTCTTCATATTATTTCTGTTTGAGAAAATTTTCAACTCAATACTCAGTACTCAATAGTCTGAGTCAATCTGGAGTTTCGAAAATATTTAATTTGCTTCGCAAAGCACTGCATGTAAACAAACGCATAATTTTGAGACCGACTGCACGTAGTTTGAGACCGACTGGATCATTTCTCTGGGGGGGGTGAACCCCCCCCCCCCACATTTACGCCCCTGACGCTTGCGTACCTATTCGGGTTCTATTGAAAGACTAATTGGGAAAAGATCAGGGAACTATTTTCTTGCAAGTGGAAGCACAAACTAGAAAAACAGATCTAGAAAAGAATGATCTGCAAATATGACTACAATCACAGTAAGATTAGTCCGCTCCTTTGAGTATAGAAATATGAAAACCATTGTCTTACAAAACGTTGATTTGGATATATCTGTTGAGGAGTTGAAAGTTTTAGTCAGTGCAGGTAAAGTTACTTTTTTACAAATAAACTTCGGTGATGTATAATTCAGTTAATATAGATACACAATATGACGTCATAATGTGGAAGAACAAAAAATCTTATCTATTTGTTTTATATAATAAAAAGAAAACCCCCAAATTAAACAGATAAATAGCATACTTTTTATCCACCCAAACATTTGGAAATTGGAAAAAGTAGAAATTTTACAAATACCACACGTACATGATCTATACAAATAGAGCGTCGACCAATAGGTTTTGGCACGCTTTAGCTTAACAGCATTTGTGCCGGCCGTTAAGGGGGAGGGGGTCGTATGCCGTTAAAATTACTTTTCCGTGATGAAAACTTGCCTTATATGTATTTTCGTGTTGAGATTCTTTGCTTATAACAGGCGAAAATTGACCAATTCCTTTCATATCCCATCAAATATTATGTTTTGGGGATTGGTGGGGCTTACACGAGCGCCGAAGGCATGAGACTGCTTGGGGTGTCTGTGGCCTCTGCAATGGCCGCAAATGCTTCTAAATTATATTTAATGGTTATCGGAAAATAGTAGGTATTTTTTTGTGTCTAAGTTATTCAATTTGGGCCAAACATTTGTACTGTTCACACAACTAAAATATATCCGAAATTAAGAAACTAACTACGGAAAAATTATTGGTTAGGCTAAAGCCCAGCGAGCCACCCTGCTTTGCGGTCCCTGTATTTTATACTCCCCGTTCACAATGCGTCTTCTTAATGGGAACTGCAAGAATCTAAATCTGCACAGGAGCTTTTCCTTTCAGGTACATAAGTACTTTAATACAACTTGAATTTTCTGTCATGCTGGCTTAGGCCATGGAACATGCCGCTAACAGGGGAGGGGGTTGAGGCCTTAACGGCACAAATGCTGTTAAGTGTGACGAAACCTATTTGTCGACGCTCCCTAAGGGAAATGTATGCTATTGGCTACCTCATGTGCTGTGTTGTGATTTGTAAATTTTGTGTGATGTAATTCCGTGCGTCTGTCCTCTAATAGACCAATGCTGGCTCTCGGCCAATGAAAGTACTTGTTATACATTTATATTAATTATCGATGATCAACAATGGTGATAAAAAGTCTTGTTGTAATATGTGTTGTTCAGTGTTGGTCTCACTCTCCTTGTTATTTTGTAAATTCCTTCATTTCTTTGCAGGGACCGACAGATATGTCATGGGAAGGGATGTAATTAGGTTTTGGTTTTGGGGCACCAAAACCTAATTATGTCGTGGGGTGGGGTGTAATTATGTTTTGGTCTCTGATAAGCTGTTTCAGGTAACATAGAGTGTAACTTGTGTCTGGTTCCTTTTGGACCTGACACTTGCCGACAGGGGATGAAGGCCCCGGCCGGCTCTAATTTGAGGTAGTACCAAAAATGTAATATGATTCCATTAATTTATATTAATCTTGTAGGCCCTTTTTTCAGGTTGGGGCCCTGTGGAACGACCCTATTAGATATATCACTGCTATAAGGGCCCCATACCTAAATGCCCATACCCAGTGGCGCCGCCAGCTCGATAATTGGGGGGGGGGCGAATCTTCGTGTCCTGCATTATTAACTTCTTTTGAAATCCATTATTTTGATGGTCTGTGAGCACAAATATATGAATATTTGCCCCCCAATTATCACGCTGGTGGCGCCACTGCCCATACCTAAGACAGGGTAAAATTAATTTTAACCTACCTCTGGGAAATTCCTCATAATTTCATGATGAAGTTAAGGATTTTCATTGCTCAACAGGGAGGGTGTGTGGCATTACACCCTCTACACCACCAGCTGGCACAGCCCTGTTTTTAGTTGCAACTCCCACTCCCCATGAGTGCATTCCACACTTTTAGTACAGCAACCTGTATCCTTACTTCATGCTAAAGACTTTGAAGTTTTGTACAAGAATGTATCCAGGCCTTCATGCCATATTGGTAACTTTTTCCAAGTTTCCATTTGTAGGATTAAAATGATCTATTTTTGTTGACAGCAAAAATTTTAGAACACAGAAATTATGATCTGCTGAACTGGCAGTCTATATAGTGAGCTCATGTATATATATGAACCTCATGCAGTATCACACATAAATTATTGAATTCCAAAACTGCCCAAAATAAATACCATAATGTTGTGAGTAAGCAGACTAATTTATATCCGAGCATAAAGGTGATTTACAACTATGAGGGGTGGAATGGGACAAAAATATAAATTGGTGAAGACAGATGTTTTCGGGCAATGTCTCATGTTTTCGGGCCGTATGTTTTCGGTTCACATGTTTTCGGGCAATGTCTCATGTCATCAACATCGGACCGTATGTTTTCGGTTCACATGTTTTCGGGCAATGTCTCATGTCATCGACATCGGGCCGTATGTTTTCGGTTCACATGTTTTCGGGCAATGTCTCATGTCATCGACATCCGGCCGTATGTTTTCGGTTCGCATGTTTTCGGGCAATGTCTCATGTTTTCGGGCAATGTAAATGCTACATCCGGGTTACCATCAATTTGGCGTTTTTTTTGTCACGTGGGTTTTAAACTTTTCTTTAACAATAATCATGCAAACTGCAAAGTGTTTCACTGTTTTTATGGTTGATTTATAGTGCTTTCCAGTTCAAGGGGTTTTATTTTTGTCAAGGGCCAAATTTAAATATGGCTAAAGTATTATAGTTCTGTTTTAAGTACGTGGAGATTCATAACGTCGAACAAGTACGTATACAATCATAGACGGATTTTCATATTTTTTACTGGGGTGGTGCCAGAAATTTTAGGGGGGTGAGCCGTGAGCAGGTGACTGAAGCAACACAAAGTGTCACCAAACCCCAGTAAGGTCTATATTCTAGAGGTGGAGCACTAGAGCCGCGAGGGGGAGTCTAGAGAGCAGAAAACAAAGTATCCCTGGAAAAATTTGAAAAAAATCATGATTTCTAGCTTCGAAAAAACGTTTTTTGAAGTTGTCATATCAATGGATTTGGCCTGTCCGATCAGGGCCGTAGCTAGCATGTATAGTTGGGGGATGGGGGGTGTAGGCCAAATATTTCCGAATGACGAAAAAAATTTCCGAATATTTCATGGCATACGAAGCAACGAAGGTGTTTGCTATCTGGAAAATGAAGACGCAATTTACAAACAAAAATACACATAGCCCACATAGTTTCCACAAAGACATATTACAGAAGTATGCAGTGCCGTAGGAAGCTCTTTTTGATTGGGGGCTGGGAACGAGGGCCGAAGGCCCGAGGAAATTTTTAAATTTAGATTCTCTGAAATGCCATTTCCTGGACTTTGGGGGAAGTTTTGACAGAATTCTGATGGTCAGAAAACAGAGTTTTAATATGATATTTGTGATGTTACTCTGAGTATGCATCCACAGTGGGCAAGCTGAAAAGTGTGCCTGGCCACGGTGGGAGTCGAACCTGCGACCTTTGGGATACTAGTCCAATGCTCTCCCACCTGAGCTACGTGGTCAAGTCGGTTCGACTTGTTGATATTTCGGAACTGAATCTAGTTCCTTCGACATCAGTGTAATCTTTGATATGATTTATGTGTGTGTGTTGGTGTTGTGTACTCAAGTGAATATGATGTTTGTGATGTTACTCTGAGTATGCATCCACTGATCCACACTGGGCAAGCTAAAAAGTTAGCTTGCCCACGGTGGAAATCAAACCCGCGACCTTTGGGATGCTAGTCCAATGCTCTGCCAACTGAGCTACGTGGTAAAGTCGGTTTGAGTTGTTAATAGAGTTTTAGTATGTCGAAATTTACAATTTGCTTACAATTTAGCAGAATTAAATGGGCGAAGTCGTATTTAGCTATATATTGGAGAAGTTGCAGGAAAGAGTATGGGTAATATAATTCTTTGCGGTTTGTCATGGATAATGTAGCCGCTTAAAATTAATCAATTGTTTAAATGATAAAGGTGTGCATGATTTTGAAAAAAGACTGATTATCAGCAAATTATTGTAAGGGTGCTGCCTCCCCCCCCCCCCGGTTGCTACGGCCCTGATAAGTACTGAAACCGAAAAAAATTACCGATTTACGATTTGTTAAACGTTATCCGGCATGTAAATGCCGTGATTTCGTAAATCATTTTATACTGATTATAATATTATAATATTTTTTCTGTTTAATTAAACAATTAAAATTTTGTTATACTATTATTGCCGTAATTTTCCGAATGGCCAACCCGATTTTCCAAATATGTTAATTCTACAAAAGTTGGGGGGTTAACCACCCCCCCCCCAACACCCCCTCGCTACGGCCCTGTGTCCGATTGTCTGTTGAGACTTGAGAGACTTAAAGTTAAATGAACCTGTAAAAGTGTAAACCCAATAGGCCAATACACAATATGCTTTTACTTTTATAAACGAATTAAAAAATTAAAAAGAATTAAAAACGAAAAATAATGTTTGTAAAAATTCCAAACGTTCCTTGCAAGCAAGCTATTTGCATGACAAGGCACTGCAAACTCTATTCATGGGAGATAATAGAGTTTCAAAACTTTACAATTGCTCCAATAATATTGCTTTCTATTCGAGTGTACTCCTACGTTTATTTTGTATCATCAACACTCTGCACGTTGGAGTGGATTATTTAATTATTTTTTATTATGCCGAATATTGGGGGGGGGGGTTGAAAATTTTT